GAGGCTTTTTATCAGCAGCTGGCAGAGTTCGGCCCTGAGCCTTAACTTCCCTAACAAGCCCCACCCTGAGTATGGTGCCTGAGTTATGTGTGGCCATTGCAACAGATCATCGAACAAGTGGGGTCAGGGGACATGGTCTGAGGTGAGGTCAGGGGACTTGGCCTGAGGTGGGGTCAGGGGACATGGTCTAATAGTGAGGTTGGCCCTCACACACATTGCTCAATCACACACCCTCACAATGCACACACAGAGATAACATACATGTACACACTCACACACATTCCTCAATCACACACCCTCACAATGCACACACAGAGATAACACTCACAAACATATACACACACTCACACACCGTCCTTCATTCACTGACACACTCACATACACCCTCATAATACACACATGTTGTTGGTGCTAAGTGCAGTGGAGTCAGTTCTGACTCAGAGCGATCCTTATTGGGTTTCCAAGAAGAGGCTGGTGGATTTGAACTACCGACCTACCTTGTGGTTTGCAGTCCCCAAACACATTTACACACCCTCACTTACCCACTCGTGCACACACACACAGACGCATCCCACTGTGAGCAAGCCGGTACCTGGCCAACACGGAGAGGCTCCTCCCAGGGCCGGGCCCGGGGCCCTGCTGACACCTCAGGAGAGCGGGGGCCTTCACCTCCAGCACTGCCATCTTGTTTCCAAACGTGGACGTGAGTGCACAGCAGACCTACGGGGTCAGCAACAGCACTGAGCCAGACGGCAGCTTGGCGGTGTGTCCTCAATTCTGTCCACGAACACAACTGTCCAACACAATCCGCCTCACTTCCCTCCAGAGTGTCCTCCTGACCAGCAATCACCCAGCACTTGGCCCTTCACAAGAACCTGCATCTCCAAAGGCCACCTTGTAAGTAGCCGAAGGAAGTACAAGTTAGAGACAACGCATCTCCCAGAAAGCACGGCCAGCGATGCGTCACTAACCTTTCCGTGTCCGGCTCTGTTCATTATCGCACACGATCCAGCAACTTTAATGCTGAGGCCCATGAAGTCTTCGCTTCCGG